GTGGAGAAGAAGGAAAGTGGAGTGCTCAGTTAACATTTATATAGCTTTAAGTGTGGAGTGCTCAGTTAACATTTATATAGCTTTAAGTAAGTACAGTACAAAGTCTCTAATTCGGATGTCCATAATCCGGAATGATCTATAATCCGGACCTCAAAGCTACAAACTTTCTGTGCATGCATAGCATTTAAGTATGCGCATAATACGTTTACGCATGCGCGTTTAATGTATAACGGACAGTATAAGCTAGGCTAAAATTATTTAATTATCTATTTCAGTTAATGTTGCAGATTGCATTGTTCCTTAATCTTCTAACTGGATCCGGCATATTATTTTTTGCAGACTGTTGAGCAATTTTATAAAAAGTAAGCTTGAACTTTCGATTATGTCAAAAAGAGTTTCCGATTGAGCTGCCAAAGGATCTATAAAGCGAAAGCATGTTTCGATGTCCATCAAACAAAAAGTGAAATTGCTGCAAAAAATGGTTAAAGGCATGAAGAAAGTGACAGAGAGGTTAGTGAAAACGAAAAAATTTCGATTCACAAGTTAGTCGGTATTCTCGGCACAGCAATCACAGGACTTAAACAGTGGAACTTTGTAACTGAACAAGAAATTATGTCTGTTTATAGAATTAAGGAGAAAGTATTAGCACATAAAACGAAGTAATTTAAACAACTTACATTGAAAGAAATGTTTAATAAAGTAAACAAATAAATATAAGCCCCACCCCCTTTTTTTTTGTAAATTTTGATACCCTTTAGATCATAATTGCTCTTTGTTTCATAAATTACGGTTTCATATTTTTAATTTTATAATTTCTGCATGCCATCTTACCAGATTTAAATTGCTGATCTATAATCCAGGAAATACCCCTAATCTGGAATTGTTAAAGTCCTGACGAGTCCGGATTAAAGACTTTGTACTGTACTATACCACCATTTTTTTGGCTACGGAATTATTGAAACAAATACCATATAACTTGCAATATTCAAGGAAAGAAAAGTTTCTGCTTGATGACATAAATAACCATAATATGGAAAGAATTATAAAATTGCCTTCTGATAGCATTTCACTCTTAAATTAGAAGCACAAAATAATAATATGTGTATGGAATTAGAAGAATGCTTTCTAGTGATAAAACGGTTAAAATACTTCATGCAGTTCGGGTTTAGTTTATCTGATTACGGTAAAGCACCTGGGCTAGAGCCCAATCGGCCCATGTCTTAAGATGGCCCTGACTAAGCAATTTTAGAGTCTCATGTATCTGCAGGATTAAGAGGAAAGGAAATTGTTGCAAACTCATTCATGATTATATTCTCATTGCAGAACGTGGCAAAGCACTCGGTGTTAATAAAAAGCATATGCTGTAGAATATAACAACTCATTGAAGCTATTGAAAATCACTTGCATATAGAGGTCAAAGGTTTTCGTCAACCAATCAGAACATAAAAACGGTCATATATACCATGCAAATTTTTGGTCTAGCAATAATAATGAATAACTGCTCTCCACATATTTATTTGCTTTCAGCATTTTTTCATTTATTCCATCTCCTACACTATGAAAATGTACAGTGAATCCCGAAACTGAGTGTACACTCCCTTCTACGACAGAATTCATGTTTAGAATGAAAACAAAAACTGTCAGATAAAGAAAGTCACCAAAACCTTTAGACGAGGATGTAGAAAGATACCTAATCTTAATATTTATTCATGACTAGACATAAAAGAATGCATGAAATATAGAAACAAAATGTACAACAGAAATCGTCAAAAATCTGAGCTCACAAAATTGAGGGTACATGTAATTGTTTTATTACATAAATTATAAAAAAACAACACATTAATATTTTGTAGCATACCCACTGGCTTTGATGACAGCTTCCAGCCGCCGGGACATCGAATCGACAAGATTTTTCGTAATTTCGGGTGAAATGTTTTCCCACTCCACTTTAAGTACATGCTTCAAATGTTCTTTACTTGTGATCTGATGTTTTCGGACCTCTTTTTCAAGGTGGGACCACAAATTTTCGATCACGTTCAAATCAGGAGATTGAGGGGGTGTGTTCAGCTGATTTCGGCAGTGATACAGCAGCCATTCTTTGACAGTATTTGCTGTATGCTTTGGATCATTATCCTGTTGAAATGTGAATTTTGATCCTAGTCCCAATTGAGTAGCACTGTCCTTCAAATTATTTTTCAATATATTAAGATAACCATTTTATCCATTATTCCATCAATAAACACTAGCTTTCCAACTCCCGATGATGCCATACAGCCCCAAACCATTACTGACCCACCTCCATGCTTCACAGTTGGAATTGTGTTTCTTGGATCTAAAGCTGAATTTTCTTGCGCCATACCATACGATGACCGTCACTGCCAAAAACATTAAATTTACTCTCATCGCTGAAAATAACTTCATTCCAGAACTCTTTAGGCTTTAGAATGTTGTGACGTTACAGTTACTAGCACCCCCCCCCCCGGGGCACAGGTGCTGAATTATAACTTCCGTTTGTTCGCGAACGAAAGGACCAACCTGCAAAGAGAGCAGAAAAAACCTGGGAGTTTCCGGACCAAGGAACTAATTTTTCTCTTCGCAGATAACAAAACGAGTGAATCTTTGTGGAAGAGTTCTTCGTGTGATTTTGAGGTGACAGGACGCATCTTTTACGTTCTAAACCACGCCAGTGGTTTCGGTCGAACAATAGGTTTTTTTTATGCTGTAACTACAGTAAAAAGGACGCTTTTTTTCATCCAATCTGCGTTAGCGGATATTGTATGATTTAGGGATGTAATGATCAGTTTATTTTTATGTTTTAATCAAGAAATCTATTTTAGTTTATAAAATAAATAATTTAAAAGACAACCTGTCTTTCTTTCACCCGACACGGGTGTCCTGACGTTACAGCTATAATAAATGGTGGCAGCAGTTCAGATGAGAAAATCCATGCAGAAATTACAGACCGTCAGGCTCTAAAATTTCATCTCAAGATTGTGGGACAGTCATTGTCCAGATATCAACAGTGTTTTGCAGATATTACAGATCATCAGGTTCTGAAGTGCAGCACGAAAAGTTACGAACATCAGTTCGAAAAAGTGATTACAGCTCTCCTGAAAGCGATGAAGATAAGAAAATCCATGCAGCAGAAATTACAGACCGTAAGGCTCTGAAAAAATCATCTCAAGTTTGTAGGACAGCCATTGTCTGAACTATCATCAGTGTTTTGGCAGATATTACAGACCGCCAGGTTCTGAAGTGCAGCACGAAAAGTTACGAACATCCGTTCGAAAAAGTGATTTACAGCTCTTCGAAGTGGGGAATAGAATCCACGAAGAAGGTTACGGACATCAGTCCAGAAAAGAGGAATGAAAGTCTCCTAAAAAGGAACGACAGTCATCTTGAATACAGCGGTGATCTTCAGCATGCATAAATTGTGCGATCATCTTTGTGTTCGAGAAAAATTAACCGCAGTGAAGCGTGTGCGGACCAGCCATTGTCCGAAGATCATCATATCATTGTGAAGGTGTAGAGTAGTGAGAAAAAAAAAAGTGATATGTGGGTGATTACATCTTTGTGATCGAGAAAATTTAGATCATCAGATCTTGTGTGTGTGCATTAATATAGGTGCCTGAATCATCAGGGTCCATAAAATCTTAAATTGTGAGAAGCGAAGTTTGTGACGGCATCCGGTTTTTGCATCACAACCATTTCAACTCTCCAATCCCAGAACGGGTAAGTACCTTGGATTTTTATATTGAGGCAGTAAAGTAATTTAATTTATTTCTGTAAATCAGTAGTAAGTTCACATAACTGTTTTAAGTCAACTTGTTCCTGTAATGCTTAAAGAAATGTGCTTTTGGGTTTTATGTTACAATAAGAAAGTATAAAATTTAGAATTAAAAACCTGTGTTTAATAGATTTTTTTTATATCTGAAATGTTAATGTGTTGTGCTTAAATTAAACTTATATATTGGATTGTGTAAAGGAGTAGAATTACTGTAACTTGAAGGTTTTAATGTTAGGTGGCATTCTGACGTATCATTTCTAAGACGTTTTGAATGTTATAAATATTAGAATTTCAGTTAAGGTGTGTCAAACTTTTATTTGTGTAAGAACTGAGAATTTTTTTTCTATTGAAGGAGTAAAAGGGGAAAGATAAAACCTCAGTATCTTTCCTTTTAACTGTTGTCATATTAAGGTTAATTGCTAGCATATGGATAGGTATTGTGTAATTTATTGTATTTCTGAATGCATATTTTAACATATCCCAAACTTTGAGGAAAGTATATTGTATTATCATAAGCGTGTTTTACGCAACTGAATTTAAAGCTTTTCAGAGGATAATATTATTTGTAGTTTCATACGTCCTCAAGTAGACAATTTTTGTTTTTATTTTTGAATGTATAATAAGCATATTATAGTGTAAACTGTCTTGTTTTGTCTAACATCTGTAAAATAGGTTGTGAAAAAAAATTATAAAAGTTTAATTTTTACTCTCTCTTGTGAAAATGATATCTGTTTTAAATCAATTGTATGTATCTGTAGTGTGAGGGAGCTAAAATTGTTTAGGATCATAATTTTGGTTGTATCATGGCATTCTTAGCAAAAGTTAGGAAAGAGGATCTTAAATCCTTGGCTGAAGAGTTAGGGGAAAAAGTTAGCCCTGAACTTAGGATATTGGATTTAAGACAGCTGAATTATGGGAAATGAATCCTATGAGGAGGAACTAGTGAAAGGCCTGTTAGAAATATCACTTCAATGAGGCTTGAGAGAGAAAAAAAGGAGCAAGAAAGAATTAGGAGAGAAGAAGAAGAAAGGCAAGAAAGAATTAGGAGAGAAGAAAAAAAGGAGCAGGAAAGAATTAGGAGAGAAGAAGAAGAAAGGCAGGATAGAAATTTGAATTATCCAAGTTACGTTTACCAGCCGCTAACGGAAATGACTCTGGAAATGGTGGGAATGAAGAAAATGGACTAAAAAAAAGCCGATACGATCTAAAAAAAATGATGCCAAAATTTGATCCTGAAGAGAACGATATCAGTTTGTATCTAGTCATGTTTGAGCGCCAAGCAAAGCGTGCGAATCTTCACCAATCAGAATGGGTTTCGGTTTTATTGACAATTTTGCCAACTGACATAGTTCAGCTGATTATGCGAGAACCAGAACAGCAGGCTTATGATTACGCTTATATAAAAAGGATACTGCTTAAAAGGTTCAAAATTAGTCCAGAAAAATTTCGCATCAAATTCGTGCAATCTCAGAAACACCCCCAAACCACTTGGAGAGATTTTGCCTTTGCATTAAGGAATTACTTTGAAGAATGGATTGCAGGTTTGGTAATTACGGATTTTGAACTTTTAAAGGAGCTCATGATAACAGACCAAATGAAGCGTCGTGTAAATGTCGAAGTGCGGCAACATTTTATTGACGAATGGTCGAAGATAACGACTCCAGAGAAATTAGCGGAAATGCTGGAAGAATATGAAAATGTGCGTGAACCCCGGAAGAAGATGTCTATTGTTCATAGTTCGGAGTCACTAAGGGGAAATACAAATAATTTAAATTCGAGGGATCCGCTAAAGTATCACCAGTCGGAAAGGGAAGATAGATATGCCTCTGACAGAAAGGAACATCTCTGGAATCAGGATGAGCGTCAATTTGATATGAGAAGACCATTTAAGTGTTATTCTTGTGGTTCAACCCAACACTTAAGGCCTCAATGTCCGGAAATTAAAAGGGATCTCAAAACTCCGTTTATTGTAAATAGAGTCCAGGAGATTGAAGAAGATTGTTTAGCCCCGTATCTAACGATGGCTAAAGTGAACGGTTTTGATCTTCCAGTTTTGAGAGATACCCGGTCATGCATTCACGTAATTTGCAAGAAATATCGCACTCCTTCGATGCTGACGGGCGAGACTGTTTGGGGTAAAACACCCGTTTGATGAGGCCCCCCCAATTTTGTTTTACCCTTAGCAAACGTTACAATAGAAGGAACTTTTGGCCAAGTAACAACAAAAGCAGCGGTTCACTCGAAATGAATTGGAACATTATCTGTTAGGAAACAGAACCGCCGAAAAATTAGCCGTAGATCAAACGATAAACTTTCTTTCAGGTGAAAACAGGTATTCAAGCTCCGAGTCAATCAAAGAATGAAATGGGGAAAGGTTGTCCACTGGAGTCTGAACGCGGCGAACTCGAACCCTCAAGCGAAGTTTCTCCCCTCACTATAGAAAGGGGTAAAGTCTTGTCTCAAACACAAAGGATAGAGAAAACCAATTTCTTTCTGCCTGAAATGAAAGTGAATGAACTATCACTGCCTACAATAAAATATTCTTTTATAGCGGACCTACAAAAGAAAAGTGACATTGTAAAGCCATCTTGTGACTTAGTCGCGTTAAACGATCACAGTAACTCTTTGGGAAAGGTGTACAAGTTAAGAATTACCTTTTCGGTTCGGCACGCACAAGAAACTGTAGATCAGCTAAATGATGTTTCGTACCAACCAGACTTGGGAGGTTTGCGAATGCCTAGAAAATCCGTAGGAGAATTGCCCAAGACACCTAGTAGTGTAAATTTACCAAGGAAAGTAGAAGAATCCCCAGTTTATCATTTATCTATATTAGTGCCTGATACTGAATGGTCAAAGGGGATTAAATATAGCTACTTCATGAATGATGTGTTAGCAATTAATTAGTTCCTTTACTAAAAACACATTCTGTCAAACATTAATTGTTAGTTACTTGCTTTATTCAGAAACATTACCGTCAACATTACTACTCAAAAACATTACAGTTCAAATTATCATCGTTCTGAAAAAAACTGTTGTTGCGAATCGTGAAAATACATTTTAAATAAAATTAATACGTTCGTTTACATTTGGGCATCCTGACTTAGTTACAACCTCGGAACATTAAGAACTTATATTTAAAAAAATTAAATCTGTAATATTAATGTTTATAGTTCGAAAGTCTTTAGCTGTCATATAGATTCAGCGTCGTTTTCTATTCTTTTCTTCTTTTGTTTGTCGTGTCCTAGTTTTAGTAATATGCGGCGTGTTGTTATCGTTATCCCCAGTAACACTAATGTCATCCACCATCATCATCGTCTTCTTCTGATTCAGCTTGACACTGCCATGACTTTAAATTGGCTCACATGAGCTGTCGTACTAAAGAAATGTCCTTTCACCTTCTCTTCTAATTGAGTCACTCTATAGGTATCACTTGGTAAACTTCTGTAACTACCAAAGGTCCTCGATACTTTGTTTTTGGTTGATTCTCCAATTGATTTAGGTACTCTTCTCATAACTACTATTTCTCCTCGTTCGAATGTTAAGAATGCTTTTCTTCTTGTCATAATTTGCTTTCATTTTCATCTGCATATCTTCAATTCTCTTTCTAGCTTCATTTGTAAAATTAGTGGATTCTCCCATTCATTTGCGTCTTCATCTGTAATCATCCTCATCAATCCGTCGTTAAATTTGGTGAAAACCGTGAAGCATTTCGAAAGGAGTTTTATTTAGTCTTATTTATCATATTTTAGATTTCTTTTCGCATTCCTTAATCTTTTTGTCCCATCCTCTCTGATTCGGATTTTCCATACTCGTTTAATCGTAGTCAAAATTGTTCGATTTGCTCTTTCCACCACCATTCCATTACCACATGGATGTTGAGTTGGATTGAGTGTATGACTGATTCCATTATTTTGACAGTACTTTCGAAATTCCTTCGCTGTGAAAAACATGTTCCTCTATCACTGATAATTTTTTCTGGTAACCCAAATCATCTACAAAACTCTCAATGCAACAAACATACTTGGTTGCAGTACTTTTCATAGGATATTAAGCGTGTAAATCTCGTAAAATTATCAATTATTACAAATAATTCTGTATTTCTTCTTGAACTTTTACGAATGGTCCTAAATGATCTATATGTATAATTGCAAAAGGTCTTCTACCAGGCCTAATTGGATGCAGTACTCCTTGTTTTCTACCACTAGGCATTATTTACTAGGCATTCGAAACACATCGATATGTAACGCAAAAACATATCGTTTCATTCCTTTAAACCAGTATGATTCCTTTATTTTGGCAACAGTTCTGTCTGCTGAAAATGTCCCAAAAGATCGTGAAATTTTACTACAATTTTCTTTTCTCATTGATTAGGTAGGACATATAACAATTTCTTCTTTCCTGATCTTTCACTTTACGAACAATTGATTATTCTTCAAGACGTAATTTCAGTTACACATATTCTCTGCATTCGTCTTCATTTTATCTTTTTCTTTAAATGTCTTAATTGCATAATTTCTGGATCTGAATGCTGAATCATAAGAAATTGTTCATCTATCGTTAGCGTTAAACAAACTTCCAAGTGTTTTCATTATAGAGTCAAAGTTTTTCTGGCTGATAACTGGCGATCGGCTCAATGCATCTATGGACTCATTCTTTTGCCTTGCCTGTGCTTTTTTCAAGATTGTATTCCTGAATAGATTACTCCACCTTGCTACCTGAGGATTTGAATTTTCTTCCGCGTTTAATAAACTAAAGCTTGGCAGTCTGTAATTACCGTAATCGGATTCCAATTAAAATTGTCAAAGTTGCGTCAAAGTCCAAACTAACCATTAATTCTAATTTGCTTGAATGATAATTCTTTTTGTTTCTTGTTCCTTTACTTACACAATAAACTAAATGCCACTTTCTATATTCACCTTTTTGCAACAGCATTCCTGCCGTCCTTTGTTGCTGGTCTGTGTGCACTTCAGTCTCTGC